TGCCCCATGCTGAGAGTCGGGATCGCTATTCATCAGAACTACAGAGTCGTGCCGTAATGGGGACCGCTGTCGCAATGGCACTGCGTCAAACTGTTACCAATATTGCCGCAAAGTAGTGTGTCGTACCTATTTGTGCCGAGAAAGAGTTCTGTGCTCTGGGCTCGACAGATGTCGCCGGGCCGTCTGCTTCGGTTTGTCTATATGTGTGCGCGGAGACCGATCCAAGAGGCCTGATCATCATGAGATCCACTATTTTTCCTCAAACCATTGGATTGTATCTGTTCCTATCGGGTCGATCAGGGTCGTGCCCCATGTACCTCAGTGGGGTCCACGAATGTGACGAGACCTCTGTTCAATTGGCTATGGTATTGGTGCATTTGAATTGCGGAGCAAGGTCGGTACAACAAAGACATGTTTTGTATTTGCCCCCTGTTTTCTCTCCTTTTCCGCGTACTAAGAGACGAAATGTATTTGAGCTTCTATAACGGCGTGTGCCCTTCGTCACACCAAAACATGCGTGATGTTTGTAAATTTGTTGTGATTTGGGGCCGGCAGCGTGCTGCTCCCTTCCCTCTTCCCTTCTGATCAGATCATATTAGACACCGCGTATGCACTCATCAGGTATGGGGAGGATGTTAATGAAATTTCGCATATAACAACAGTGTGAGGTGCTTTTATGAGTAGCGATGTATCGGTGACTTGAACTTTCGGTTTGCTAGCTAGAAGGGAGAGGTCACGGAGAGGTCAAAGGGTCATTCACGGAGAGGGCATGGACGGACAGTTTCACAGTGCGTGATGTTGGAACCGGAGAGCGAGGGGGTTGGAGTGGTCGCTGGACGGACGGGTAAGGCGTTGGTCTCCAGGTCGCGAGGGCGCGGCTGGGCTCCCACCACGCAAATTCTGCACCAGCACCACGTGTTCGCCAGGGCCGCTTTCTTCACTGACAGCTGGAAGCCCATGTCCATGCAGTGCGTGACCGTTTGACGTGTGGTGATACCACGTGACCTACCTGTGACGTCACTGCTGGCGCCCATTCTTCGAATGTCGAGGGATAAAGCAAGTGGGTTAGGTTGTGTCTATGTACGTGGTAACGCCAAGTAATAGACGCTTCATCTCGATGGATGAAGTGGTGTTTCCTGGTGGCATGTTATGTTGATTGTGTGACCGGTAATTCGGTGCGTGATTCGGAAGCCAACGGCAGCGGTGCAAAATTGGCACGTCGAGCTTCGCTTTCGGTGTGCTTCCTTTGCCCCTACGGACTCAATCAGCCGATTCTGGTGGCTGGCTGTCCATGTTCGGACATGTCGCCCTCCGCTCCGCTGTGGCGTTATGCCAGTGACGTCGTGACCTGTGTCGTCACCGGTGCCGGTCTCGGCAGGCCGCCGTGTGGCCGCCAGGAGCGCGGGCCCGGTCCCGGCGTGTTCGCTCGGCCGGAGCCGGCGGCCGGGGGCGGCGCTCCTTCCCCCGGCCCACGGCCGCTCCTCCCGGCCGCTCCCGGCGCCCGCTCATCCGCTTACACGGACCAGAACGCGGCTCCGTGCGCCGGGGGCGGCGTCACCGGTCCGCCGAGGCCTGCTTACCCCCCACCCATCTCCGGCTGGGACCGGCCGGTCGCCCTGGACGCCCCGGGCGTGTGTGTGTGTGTGTGTGGGTGTGTGTGGGTGTGTGTGTGTGTGGTGTTGTGTGTGTGTGTGTGTGGTGTGTGTGTGTGTGGCGTGTGCGTGTGTGCGTGCGTGCGTGCATGCGTGCGTGCGTGGGTGCGTGCGTGGTGCGTGCGGCGTGCGTGCGTGCGTGCGTGCGTGTGTGTGTGTGTGGTGTGTGTGTG